TGGTGTAGTTGGTGGTGGGGTTGTCCCCTCAAAGGACGTGTGTCGGGTGATGGCGTCCAGCACCACCTCCGGCAGCTCCCGCCCCAGGAACTGGGCCACCTTGGCAATCTCCCGGCAGAGGTCCTGGGCGACGCAGGCCGATACTCCCCACTCTTGCCACCCCCCCAGACCTCACACCACCATCCACCCTGGTCCCTCACCTCTTTCAAGTCCTCGTAGAAGAGGTAGAGGATGGGGTGTTCCTTCCTGCACTCCCAGTAGTCCCTGATGTGGTCATACCAAGAGCCATATGCCACTGCATGGGGAGAGCAGCCGGGGGGTGTCAGTGGGTGATGGCACCCCACAGGGTCCCCACGTGCACCCACAGGTGCCTGTCCCACCGCTGCTGACCATGTCCTCCAGGTACCAGGCCCATGTCCCAGGGTGCAGGTGCAGCTTGTTCATCAGGTCAAAGTGGTAGAAGGAGTCAGCCATGTCCTTGACGTTGTGCCCCACGTAGATCATCTGCGGAGAGCTTGGTGCCACATGGGGACTTGCAAGGTCCTGGCGGAGCAGGTCCCCCCCTTGTCTCTGCTGGGTCCCTCCAGGTGTGTCCCCTCCAGCCTGTTACCTTGCAGCAGTTTTCCCAGAAGGATTTGGGCGAGATGTGAGGTGGGATGTGGGTCTTGATGATGCAAGGCCACGCCACGGCCTCCAGCTGCTCCGTGCCTGCGAAGATTTCCCCCAGGAGCGCTCCCACCGCTGGCGGGGTGCCCCCCGCCAAAACCAAGCCTGCCCCCCGTCCGGCACCCACTGCTGCCCACCACCCCCTGCCACCCTGCTACCTGCCAGCATCTTCCTGGGGGTGGCGAACTCCAGCATGGGCAAACTCGTGGTTCACAATGGCATCCCGCTTGCATTTTTCATGGTCGCCACCTTTCAGGATCGTGTCCATGATCTCGCTGACCCAGGTGGTGCCTGGGTGAGGAAAATTCGGGTGTCCGGCTGGTGCCATTCTCACCAGAGCCCCACCTCGGGCACCAGAGGGACACCGTCTGCCAGCATTACCTTTTGGCATCCCCCCAAATCCCAGCCCGGGGGGCTGCAGGCTGGTGCCTGCCTTCCTGAGCGCGGCCCCTCTCCAGTGCCTGGGGACGCTCACCGGATTTGGGGAAGGTGACCACCACAATGTCCTTGGGGGGGGTCTGGAAGGTGTTGACCTGCTCCCAGTCGTGGGTGAAGGCGCTGACCACGGGGATGCCGTGCACCGTGCGCATTGTGGACATTTCAATACGCATGGGCCTGAAGGTGCCTGTGTTGCTCATCAGAAAGACACGTTATTAAAAAAAAAAGTAGAAACTAATTTCTTAAAAGCTGTGGGTATAACTGTCTAAATGTAGAGGAAGGTACCTTAATTAAGGTGTGCCGTATTTATGCTTGGTTTTGACCTGAGAAACAAATAGTCCTCTTTTTAGAGCGAACACTATTTGCCCAAGGTGTGCTGGTATTTCCTATCTCATCTGAGTCCAGGAAGAACAGCAGCTTATTCCTGTTTAAATCAGCTAAGAATTAACAGTCATTCCAGAAGTCACAAATTTACATCACTGCTGTAGCTGTTGATAATTTAAGTCAAGTCTTTATATACCATTGCGTGGTTCCTAAATAGGCTGTGTTTGCTGTGAAGCTTAGCTAACCACTGTGTGACCTTTTCTTCACACTTGTGTGAATATGCGCTTGCTGGCATCCTGGGAGGTGGCACCTGCCTCCCGCGGGGATTTTGGGGGCCGGCTGGCAGCGCAGGGAGCGTGGAGGGGCACAGCCGGCCCTGGGGGGCTCAGGTCAGCGCCGGCAGTGGGCAGCTGCCCGCACCAAGCTGGTGGCACTCTTCCTGGGGTGTAAAAGCTTGCAGGGCCTTTGCTGGCTGGGCTTTCAGGCTCCTTTCTGTCCCTCTCCCTGTTTTTTTTTTCCCCGGCTCTCTGTTGCACAGCGGCACGGGGAAGCCCTGCTTGGGGGGCTACGTGAGGGTTTGAAGGAGGCAGGAAGGGGGAGCAGGGCTCGCAGGACTCTTCCCGGGAAACCTTTCCACCTGCCAGCCGGGATGGAAATGCTGGAGATGCCAGCTGCGAAACCCCCACGCTGTGATTTTTGGAGAGCGTCTTTGTGGCTTGCCTCCATCTCCCAGGGGCTTGCAGGGACACCGAGCTTCTCCAGACCTCCCACACCCTCCCACGCAGGCCCCTCCGTTTGCGAGGCTGGGGCACCCTGAAACAGGTCAAGCCCCTGGACCGTGGCCAGGGTCTCCCCATTACCTGCAAAGCTTTGCCTGCAGCTTGGGCAGGGGATTTGTTATTTTCCCTTCCCCGCGTGGAAGATGGAGGTGCGGAGAGGCGCCTGGGGCTGCAGCAGGCCGGGGAACATCATTAGGGAAGGGACCCGGAGCGACCTGGTCCTGGCGCTGTGGCGAGAGGAGTGCAGGGAAGGGGTGAGCGGGGATGGGGATGCAGCCCATCTGGGGACAGTCCCCAGACGCCTGTGATGAGCTGTGCTGTGCTCAGCACCCCCCCAGTAAACACAGAGATTGCGGGGGGAGGAAATCACAGCTTCCCCCTCCACCCGCAGAGGCAAATGCAGGGAGGAAATCCCAACCCACATCCCGGGGGTTTTGAACATCACCCTGTCCCATTCTGGGGGTCACCCCCCTGGATGTCTCCAGTGCGGGGCTCGCTAGCATAATGTGATGGTCAGGCTTTGGTCATGCCCCCCCAAGGCACCCAAATACGGGTCCAAAGTTCGCAGGGTTGGAAAGCACGAGTGCAGCCGATACCGTGCTTCAGGGAAAAGGGCTTAAAGGTGCTGGTGGTGGTGAAATGCTCCTCCTTACCTGCTTCCCGTAGGTGAATGTGAGCCAGGAGGGAGCAGGGAGGGCAGGAGAGATGGCAGCTGGGCAGGGGGAGCAGCTTGCCTGTTTGCAACTTTGGATAAAATGTCCCTGATTTGTCCCCAGGGCCTAGTTCCCGGTGAGGTGGGTCACGCCGTCTCAGGCGTTCAGGTGTTTTGCAGGCAGGAACATGCCCTCCCTGCCCATCCATCTGTCCATATGCCAGCAAAATTGGCTGCGTGTCCAAACCCCGCAGGCAAAGCCAGGAGCTGGGGAAGCACAGAGATCTCCATCCACATTTAAATAAATGCGTGGACAGGATTTATTCCTGTGGGAGAGCTCCCCTCATAGCGCTGCTGCTTTTTAGGAGTTGGATCCGGCTTGCATCTCTTTGGGCATGAAACAACCTGACGAGACTGCCTTGCCAAAAAACTGCAATCTTGGAAACTCAAGAACAGGCTGGAAATGGAGCGTAACTGGGGAATTTGGGGATCCAAAGCAAACCCTTGCCCCCAGTGGGACGGGGACTGGTTTGCTACAGCCATCCCTGAGCAAAGGCTCGGGGCAGCTGGGTCGGAGGTTGCAGGGTGGGTTCCCGATCTGGCAAGGACAGCGATGTTGCCGAGCGCGGCGATACCCCAGCAGGGAGGTGTTCCCCTTCGCCTTTCCTCAGCAAACCACAGGCTGACGAGCTCCAGCTGGGCCAGAGAGCCTGGGCTGGGGTGAGCCCCGCCCCCGCCTGCTCTGTTGAGAAACTTGCCACAACCCGGAGGCATGAAAGCTCCTGTGCATGCAGGAGCTGCGGGGGCAGAAGGTTCACCGGCACTTTGGGGTTTTTCCACTCTTCGCTGACCTTTACTCCCTCCAGATGCCTTGGTACGATGGGGCTGGGGCGGCCCAAGGTGTCAGGGGCCAGTGGTGGTTTTTGGGAGGATGCCCACCCCCAGTGACGCCCGACCACCACCAGCTAAAAATCCACTGCGCACACCCATCCTCCCACCCACTGAGCATGGGGGTGCCCCCGGCTGCTGCCTGGGATTTGGGGGGTTCAGCCCCACCGCCCTTCCCCGCAGACAATGGCTCACCTCTCTGGTTATCCCAATTTATTGCAGGGGGAAAAGTGAATCGGTGCAAGGATGCTCAGTCCGGACCCACCCTCCCCGCTGGGGGAGCAGGGAGAAGCGGAGCCCCCCCGGGAAGGGGGATAAACCCCTCACGCCTCCATCTGGAAGCGGAGGTTGGAGCCCACCATGTGCTCCCGGTAGTGCTGGTCGAAGCGCTCGTTCTGGGCCATGGTGAAGTGGTTCTTCCCATCCCTGGAGATCCCTGGGGGCGAGAAAAGTGAGCGGGGCAAATCCTGACACCCCCGAAATATTTGCAGCCACGGATGAGGGCTGCAATACAGCCCGGGGACACCCCTTCCAAACCCCAAGCCCCACACGTGCTCATACCAGGACCCATAGGCCATTGCAGGATGCGGTCAAGGGGTTAGCCGAAAAGCAGGGTGGCGGGGGACACCCTCCTCACCAGCAATTTGGGGTGGGCACCTTTGTCAGCCATGAAAGTCTCCAGGAACTCGCCTAGTGTGCCAGGGTTGGGGTGCATCTGGGCCATCTGGTAGAAGTCATACTAAGAGATGACGACGACATCCTTGGGGTTTTGCGTCATGTAGATGACCTGAGGACAGCTGAGGATGTGGTTGGGGGGATGCACAGCAGTGCCCTCTCCATGCCACCTGGATGGAGAGGCAGGGGGCACCCATGGCATTGCCTTGCAGTCCTTGTCCTGGAAGGAGGTCGGGAGGAGCTGGACCGGGAGATGGGTCT